GTGAGGACAACTGGACCCCGTCCTCCAAGCACGAGCCCCAAGTCCAAAGTACTGCACAAGTAACGCAACACCCTCTTAGCGGCCTCCCAGTGCTCTGGTCGGTGTCTCCCGGGAGCAACGTAGTGTGCCAGGATGCTAAGAGGGTAGGCAAGGAAAGGTCAAGTGCAGGTCATTAGATACATAAGGCAGCCCACAAGCTCTGGATACGGGCCACTCGGCTCTACGGACTCGTCCAAAGGTGGAGCTGAGAGCGAGTGATCGGTAGGCAGAGGAGTGGACTGTGGCGAGGAGTACCGGAAGCCGAAGCGCTGAAGGACCTGATGCACCATGTGTGACTGAGTCAGGGTGATGGTGCGACGTGCTCTGAGTCAGGTGGCAGCAGTGAACTCAGTAAGATAGGAGGAAGGCCAGTAGAAGACGGGAGACTAAGAACCTGGCAAAGGACCGAGTCAGGTGGCGGCAGAGACGACGGCTGTGGCGGAACGAAAAACGGGCGCCGCTACACAGTGCCTCTATCACCAGGACCATTAGCTCCAGCACCCCCAGCGCCAGTACCTCCAGCTCCAGGGTCTCCAGCTCCAGTGCCTCCACCTCCAGCACCTCCAGCACCAGTGCCTCCAGCGCCAGGGTCTCCAGCTCCAGCTCCTCCAGCTCCAGCGCCACCAGCGCCAGTGCCTCCAGCGCCAGGTTCTCCTACTCTAGTGCCTCCAGCTCCAGCGCCTCCAGCTCCAGGGTCTCCAGCTCCAGCTCCTCTAGCTCCAGCGCCTTCAGCGCCAGTGCCTCCATCTCCAGGGCCTCCAGCTCTAGAGTCTCCAACACCACCAGATCCAGCAGCTCCAGTACCTCTAGTACGAGCACCTCCAGGACCAGCAGCTCCAGCACCTCCGGTACCTCAAGCTCCAGCAGTAACTCCAGCACCTCCAAGACCAGTAGCTCCAGCACCTCCAGCTCCAGTGCCTCCAGCGAGAGAGCCTCCAGCTCCTGCAGCACCACTCCTAAGGCGTGTGCGCAGAGCAAACCACTCGCGCAGCTGCTGCGGTGAGAGAGGCTCCCGTCGGGGAGACAGTCGTGGCGAGGCACCCGCAGGACCTCCAGCAGACGCAGTACCCCGAGGCTCAGCACCCCCAGACTTCGCACCTTCAGACTCAGCACCCCCAGGCTCCGCACCCTCAGGCTCAGTACCCCCAGGCTCCGCACCCCCAGGCTCAGCACCCTCAGACTCCGCACCCTCAGACTCAGCACCCCCACGCTCCGCACTCGCAGGCTCAACACCCCCAGATGCAGCATCCCCAGACGCAGCACCCCAAGACGCAGCACCTCTAGCAGCACCTGAGTCTACAGCGACCTCGACAGGCACAGTCCCGGGGAGTGGGTCTACCTGAGACACACCTGAGGAAACAGGACCCTGAGGGGGGAGGGGGACCTGGAGCAAGGAAGAGCGGTGGGGGGGGGGGAGAGGGGCAGTGCGGTAGGGGAAGAGGCTGTAAAAGGGAACCGGCTTGTTAAACGTGACGTCCTGAGAGGGGAGGACACGGCGCGATGTGGGGTGGTATAACTTCCAGCCAGGCGTGTCAGTGGGAAAGCCAAGGAAGACACAGGGAATAGCGCGGGAGGAGAGCTTGTCCGCGGAAGTATTGCGGACAAAGGCACGAGAGCCCCAGAAAATGGCCACAGAAAATGGGGAGCAGCCGCATGGATCATGGAGGTACGAGCCACCTCCATGACTAAGCCAATGTGGCGCTCAGCAACCCCATTTCGCTGCAGGGAGGCCGGAAGCGTGAACGACTGGAGAATGCCCTCCCCACGACAAAAGTCCCACAAGAGGTCAGAGGAGAACTCACGACCTCTGTCAGAGTGCAGACGCAGGACAGGAAGGTCCTCGCGAAACCGCTCACGGAGCTGGAGACGGACTGCGCGGATCCAAGGGATCACGACATCAGGGACCTCACCCTTGCTGCGCAAGGGGAAGACCGTGGTGTAACGCGTGTAGTCGTCAACAACGAGCAAGAAGTAGCGCTCGCGGCCCTGTCCACTGACGCGGGCTGGGCCCCACACATCCATGTGGAGAGTCTGTAGGGGAGCAGTCGTCGGGGAAAACGAGGAGGAGTGAGGAGCGGCGCGCTGCCGCCCCTCGATGCAAGGAAGGTAGGGCGGGGCAGGCGAGGGCGGGAAGGGAGGCAGAGACCTGGGAAGACCAGAACCAAGGAGGCGGGAGTGCATGCCACGAAGGCGTGGCAGGGAGGGGTGACCAAGGCGGTGGTGCCACAGGAGAGTCTAGTGCGACAGGAGGCGACACGAGTAGGGGGCTGCTACCGGACCTGACCCGGACACATGAGCAGACGCAGCTACCTGAGGAGGCTCGGTAGCCAGTGTGTACAGACTCGACCCAGGCTGACGGGTGAACGTGGCTAGGTGACGGCTCGTACGTGTACACGTGCAGATCCACACACGCTGACTCCAAGGAGTGGTGGTAGTGACCATCGCATCCTGGAGGGCAGGGGTACTCACCAAATGCGTAGAGAACGAGGGGAGGTGAAGACCTAAGAGTGAGCCGGACGAAACCGACGGACACGGGAGGACAGTGGAGGAACGGGCAAGAACTGGGCCCCCTGAGGGGTCAGCCAATCTGACCGAAACAGGTGCAGAGAGTGGAGTGAGGGTGGTACTGTCGCGAAAGAAACAGCGGGAAGCACCTGAGTGAAGCATGAAGGTGTGCAAGGCCTCAGCAGGCGCAGTACCAGGGAGAGCAGACTCACTAGCACCTAGAGCAGCAGCCTCTATGCCTGGGTCGGGCGGCAAACACAGGTAAGAGTCACCCTCAGCACTAACAGACAAGGCATGCATGGCAGCAAAGATAGCATCATAGTCAAGAGCAAAGATATCAACTCCAGACCTAAGCAGCTCTAGCCAGCGGGGGTGCTCAGCCTCGTCGCCAAACTCTGCGCGCCAAGCGTCGTCAAGGCGGGAGAAGCTGCGGTGCTGAGTGTGAAGCTTCCCGCATGTCTGACCAGCGCGGTCACCTGTGCGAATGACATACGGGCAACGAACACTACCCCCAGATGCCCCACGCTGAGCAAACCACTCACGAAGCTGCTGAGGCGTAGGGGTCTCGCTCCGACGTTGCTGCTGCTGCCTCTGGCGACCGCCATAACCTCCCCTCTGAACAGCTCCACCCCAACCGCCACCACTGCCGCCGCCACCACTCCCACTGCCGCCACCACTCCCACTGCCTCCACCACCGCCACCCCCACCCCCACCGCTGCTACCACCGCCGCCACCGAAGCCTTCACTCCCGCCACCACTCCAACCACCACTCCCACTGCTGCCACCACCTCCACCACCTCCACCACCTCCACCACCTCCACTGCTTCCACCACCACCACCCCCGCTGCCAACGCCACCACTCTTGCCACCCTTGCCCTTGCTGCTGCGGCGCTTCCCACTAAGAGAAGAAGCAGCCCTTACATCCTCAGCACCAAGGATGTCAACAGTAGCAGCAGAAGCGTAGGAGGGGGCAAGGGGGGAGGGGGAACACCCCTCTAAGAAGGGTGTGCGAGGAGTGCCAAAAGCAGCACCTACATCGACTACGCTAGTCTCAGCTGCAAGGAGGTGCTTCTCGAGCAGGTCGACAGTGGGGTCTATGGGGTCAAGCGCGAGAAAGTGGTCCCTGACTGCGCGACGAGAGTCAGGGAGGCGGGTGACTATGAAGTAGAGAGTGATGTACATCGGGGTGGGGGGGGAGGATTCCTGTCTAGGAACTCGGCTGGGAGGGCAGAGCGGTAGCGAGCGTCGCTAGTGTGAGGGTGGGTAACGAGGTCCTCGACTATGGCAAAGGCTGACAGCTCAGGAAACAGGTAGGGCAGTATAAGGCGGCCGATAGCAGCAGTGGAAGGGGAGGAGTAAGGAGCGACTACAGCGTCGTACAGGGCCTTAGCAGTCTTGTGCTGTCCAAAGTGAGCGTGTTCGGCTTACGGCAGGTGGTTGCGAACGGCTAAGCGAGTAGCAGCGTCACGGGTAAGCCACTGTGAGCGAGTCGCACTGTCAGCTGTGGCGGGAGGGGCGAGAGAGGCTCCAGACGTGTGGCCAAACAACGAAACGATGTCTTTATAGTCGCTCAGTAGGTACTATCAGAATGTATTTGCTGTTTAGCCTGCAGTGGGGTATTTTGTAGTGAGTACAACCCAATTTAGGGTTTGCTATTTGTATCCCAACTTTCTATAGTGAAACCCCTCATTCTTCCTTCTCGACTTTTCCTCACCCAAAATCCTCTCGACACTAATGCCCTGAACCCAAGCCATGGTTCCTAAGTCAAGCTACTATTCTAACATGCTATCAGAGTAGGTCATTACTATGACCTCACATCAATGGGCCCACCACCAAATGCCCTGCTAGCCTAGGCCCCGGCCCGTCGCCCCTTGGCGTAGCCCCTAGCCCCTAGGCTCGGCCCCTTGGCCCCGTCGCCCCTAGCTGTGACACTCCGCCCCGTTGGCCCCGTCGCCCCTAGCCGCGCCCCTCGGCCTCGCTGGCCCCGTCGACTCCGTCGCCCCGCACCCGGCCCGTACTTAGCCCGCGATCGGCCCGTACCTAGCCCGCGCTCGGCCCCGTTCCTAGCCCCGCGCCCGGCCCGTACCTCGCCCGCGCTTGGCCCCGTACCTAGCCCGCGATCGGCCCGTACCTAGCCTCGCGCCCGGCCCCGTACCTAGCCCGCGCCTGGCCCCGTACTTAGCCTCGCGCCCGGCCTCCGTTCCGCGCCCAACGCCCGGCCCGTACCTAGCCTCGCGACCGGCCCATACCCTGCCCGCGCTCGGCCCCATTCCTAGCCCCGCGCCCGGCCCGTACCTAGCCTCGCGACCGGCCCGTACCCTGCCCGCGCCCGGCCCCGTCTCTCGCCCGCGCTCGGCCCGTACCTAGCCCCGCGCCCGGCCCGTACCTAGCCCAGCGCACGGCCCCGACCCTAGCCAGCGCCCGGCCCCGTACCTAGCCCGCGCCCGGCCCCGTACCTATCCCGCGCCCGGCCCGTACCTGCCCAGCGCCCGGCCCGTACCTAGCCCAACGCCCGGCCCCGTACCTGCCCAGCGCTCGGCCCCGTACCTGCCCAGAGCCCGGCCCCATACCTGCCCGGCACCCAGCCCCGTACCTGCCCAGCGCCCGGCCCCGTCCCTAGCCATGGCCCCGTCGCCCCTAGCCATGGCCCCTCGCGACCTGCCGCCCCTAACCGCGGCCCCGGTGCCCTGTTGCAACATGGTGGGTGAGGGGGTGGCAAGAAGGGGTTCCTCCTGCCCGCGTGCCCTACAGTCGCACGCGCAGCTCCGCCCCCGCCCCCCTCCCCCCCCTCCATGGGGATGGCGGGGAGAGAGTGTGAGGGGGTGGCGGATGTGCCTCAGCAGCAGCAGCTGCCGCCACGCCTCCTCCTCTCTCTCTCCCTGCCGCACCTTGTGGTGGGAGAGGGGGGGGAGCTTGGAGGTTCAGGGGGAGGCGGGAGGGGACCTGCAGCACCAGCCCCCCCCCCCCCGCCCTTTTCTCCTCTCTGTCTCCCTGCCGCACCCTGTGTTGGGAGGGGGGGGGAGCTTGGAGGTTAAGAGGCAGGCAGGAGGGGATCTGCAGCACCAGCCCCCCCCCCGCCCCCCCCCCCCCCCCCTTTCTCCTCCACCCCTGCTGCGGGTGCAGCAGTGGGGGGGAGGGGATCTGCAGCAGCAGTGGGGGAAGGGGATTTGCAGCATCAGCCCCCCCCCTCCCCCCCCCCCCCCCCCCCGCCCTTTTCTCCTCTCTCTCTCCCTGCCGCACCCTGTGTTGGGAGGGGGGGGGAGCTTGGAGGTTCAGAGGGAGGCAGGAGGGGATCTGCAGCACCAGCCCCCCCCGCCCCCCCCCCCCCTTCTCCTCCACCCCTGCTGCGGGTGCAGCAGTGGGGGGGAGGGGATCTGCAGCAGCAGTGGGGGGGAAGGGATCTGCCATCCCCCTGCTGCGGATGCGGCAGTGGGGGGAGGGGACCTGCAGCACCAGCCCCCCCCCCTCCCCCCCCCCCCCCCCCCCTCTCCCTCCTCCTCCATCCCCTGCTGCAGGTGCAGCAGTGGGGGAGGGTATGGGGGTGGCGGGCATGGGGGTGGCGGGTGTGGCAGTGGGGGGGGAGGGAATCTGCAGTACCAGCCCCCTCCGCCCCCCCCCCCCCCCCCCCCTTCTCCTACCTCCCCCTGCTGCGGGTGCAGCAGTGGGGGGGAGGGGATCTGCAGCACCAGCCCCCCCCCCCCCCCCTCCTACCTCCCCCTGCTGCGGGTGCAGCAGTGGGGGGGAGGGGATCTGCAGCACCAGCCCCCCCCCGCCCCCCCCCCCCCTCCCCCTTCTCCTCCATCCCCTGCTGCAGGTGCAGCAATGGGGGGAGGGTATGGGGGTGGCGGGTGTGGGTGCAACTGCGGGGTGGCGGGTATGGGGGTGGCGGGTGTGTGAACCGTCCCCTCCTACTCCTCCACCTTTGTCTCCCACTGCTGCAGCTGCCGCTGAGGGGGGTGGGTGTGTGGGAGCCGAGGGAGTGGTGCTAGGGGGGTGACGTGGGAGTGGAGCTAGGGGTGCAGCAAGGGGTGTGTGTAAGGGGGGCGGGACAGTTAGGGGAGGTTGAGCGGAGGCTGCCGTCTTGTAGTCCGCAGCACCTGTAGTCCGGGGCTCTGCTTCTGGTAGCTCAGAGAGCCTGCTGCGCCTGTCGCCTGTGCGTCCGTTGCTCCTGCCGCTCAGAGTTAGCCGCAGAGCCAGTTACTCCTGTAGTCCGGGGATACGGCCCCGGTAGCCACAGTGCGCGCCGCTCCTGTTGCCCGTGTGTCTGCAGCATCAGCCGTCGCCTCCTATCTCCTCTCCTCTCACAGTCCAGCCTCCTCCTCCTCACTTGCCCTTTGTGAATGCCTCTAGCTTTGCTTGTACTTATGAACCTGCTCTATGACTGCTTGCTCTGCTGATTATACCCCACTTTGACTATGGGGGTGTGTCAAAATGTATTTGCTGTTTAGCCTGCAGTGGGGTATTCTGTAGTGAGTACAACCCAATTTAGGGTTTGCTATTTGTATCCCAACTTTCTATAGTGAAACCCCTCATTCTTCCTTCTCGACTTTTCCTCACCCAAAATCCTCTCGACACTAATGCCCTGAACCCAAGCCATGGTTCCTAAGTCAAACTACTATTCTAACAGGTACAGCTGTAAGTCGTAGAGCCACGTATCGAGCTCGATCGGACGGCCCTCATGATCGAATGTGAGTACACTGAGAGAAGCCATAGCGGGCAGAGAAGGGTGGCGCACGACCAGCAGGGCAGCACGCAGGCAGGGCGGCACGCGAGTACTTGGGAGGCGCGCAGGGCAGGGAGAGGCGGCACACGGCTAGGGAAGAGTGGCGCGCAGCCAGGGCAGGGCAGGGCGGTAGCCAGTAGGGCGGCGCACAGCAGGGTAGGCAGCAGCAGGGCGGGCAGCAGGAGGGTGGCGCGAGCAGCAGGGCGGCGCGCAGCAGGGCTGTGCGGGCAGCAGGGCGCTGGCCAGCAGGGCGGCGCACAGCAGGGCGGCGCACAGCAGGGTATCGCGGGCAGGGCGGTGCAGGCAGCGGTGCGGCTGCCAGCAGGGCGGCGCGCGAGCAGTAGGGCGCCAGCCAGCAGGGCGGGCAACAACAGGGCGGTGCGATGCGACTAGTGAGGCAGCGCTCTGTGGTGGGCCCTAAAAAATTCGGTCCTAGAATAGGACCTACTCCAAAACCATGTCATAATTTTGAACGAGAAAAAATGAACTATGAATGAGTTGGGTACAAGTACTAATCCTAATTAGGTTGTACCCTATATGGGCTACCCCAGTACAGCCTACACAATGTAAGCACTGTAACATTTTGACAGGGTAGTGTACGGAATTTTCTCGCTATTCCTTACCGCGACCGTCCACATCGCGTACAGCAGCAGCCGTTGTTCGCCCGTTACTGCTTACGAGGCTTCGCCAACTTCGCGCGCACTGTTTCACCAAACCTCGCACTGCTGGAGTAGCAGAGTCGGCCTACGCTTCGGGACTAGCCCGATCCTCGCGCCAGCGTAGCACTAGCTAGCTCGCACGCACCGCGTTACCGTTTGCACATTTTCGCGTATAAGTATTCGCTCATGCCTTCGCTCATATTTTGTACTGATTGAACACTCTAGTGCAATCCTCGCTACCTAGATTCATTGCACCCGTAACACTGTGTTACGTTTTGCTGCTCAAGTCAACCATTTCAATCTCAAGGCTTTTTGGCATTTGATGCAATGTAGTGATGGGATCTGACTGGCGCTTGTGTTCTGTACATGCACTGTAGATCCATGGAGAGGCAGATGTGTGCAGTACAAATCTTTCAATCCAACTGGGATCCGGCTCGGCAAATTTTCCAGCCCCAACAACCGCAAAGTTGCGCTGCGGTTCGAGCAGGGCTGCAAATCCCCGCAACATCGACTTCCCGCTCCAAAGACCGAACCACCACCTCCCCCCCCAGCCCAACCACCGAATTCTCCCTGCCCTGCAACTCCCCCACCCCTTCCCTTTTCCGCCGACCCTCCCGAACCACGTGCAGTGCAGGTCTCCGCCAGCCCAGACTCTGTCCGCGGAACTGCTCGCTTTCCACCAGGGGCAAGGGGCGCGTTGCTAACCAATCACAGGCATCCGAACGCCCCTGGCGTCAGCACAGCATTTCTACAGAAGCACTTTTTCGCCACAAATGGCAATTCCCAGGGTGACCAGCTCAGCAAGGCCAGCCCCGATTTCCTCCCTCCCCCCCCACGCGGCTCGGAGTGTTGATTGCGCGCACTCGGCATGGTGAGGCGGTTGCGCAGCCGTCTTTCCCCCGAGTGTTCCCCTCCCCGCGCACCCTGCAAAGTAAGTCAGATGCACTGCGCAGCCGACTTTACATCTCTCCCCCTCCTCCCTCTCTCCCGCAGTAGCACATACGTTCACATCTCTTAAAATAGTCCTTGCCTTGACATATTGAAGTCCGTGCTCTGATTCTTTCTACGAGCATTTCCAAGTCAAAGCTTGCGCTTTCACTCGCCTGGCATTGTAAAAGTAGCTTGGAAAGAAAGTTAGTAGCCTTCACTCCCTTCGTTTGAAACGGAGATCACACCATTTTCTCCTAACTAACACCAGCAAGCACGTGATCCATCATTGCAGTCGACGTTATCGACATTCAAGAAGACATTTATTCGATTCAAGCACTGGCATGGTGGCAGGGAAGTTTTTCCTCCATCATTGGTTTATCATCATCTGGCCGCATTTCTCTCACTACCCTCTGCCCATCGGGGAAGCGGGAGGATAATTTATTCGGATTCTTTATCCGCCTCTCCTCAGCAAAAAACGATTCCTGCAGAGTGTTGATACATCTTCAATACCGTTGCCAGAACGATCAAGAAGAGTAATATCTCATTGTGTAACCATGACGCGAAGCTTCCAAGAGCTGTCGTCAAGGTCGATGCTCGTGTTCGTGTCACTGCTGGTGCTATCCTCCTCGACCGACGCGTTCAGGCCGTTTGACAGAATGCGGCCAAGTGCAAGCGAGAGCCAACGAGCGACAACCTCCGTCAAGGGAGAGCCGCTAAAGACAGGTTCGTTTCCCTCTACGACGTGCTTGTGTGGCGTAGCGTGCGGGTAACCTGCGCGTAACATGTACTTGCGGTGCGCGTAGTGTGCCTGTTGTGCTGTGCTGGTAGTAGACTCGTATCTGTAAGGCTTCCAGCCTTCCAGTCGTTCTGTCTGATGCTGAGCTCCTTCCCTGCTAGAATCGCCCCTGGATTTTCAAACCCGGACCTGAGATCAACGGAAATGAAACCGCTTTGCATGAACCGCCTTCGATGACCTGTCCCGCATGCACCGCTCCCCATGCACCGCTCCCCATGCACCGCTCCCCATGCACCGCTCCACATGCACCGCTCCACATGCACCGCTCCACATGTACCGCTCCACATGTACCCACAAGCTCGCAAATTTATCAATGGTGCATCCCGTGCTTTAGCGTAACTCCCGCCGTCGTCCTTCTGGCAAAACTTACCTTATTCCATCTCCCCCCACTCCTTCTTCTTCCCCCTCTTTCCGCAGTCTACATCGTCCGGTTCCACGCCATGCCCCCCGCCGCCACGTACACGGGCGGAATCCTCGGCTTCCCCGCAACCGCTGCACCCATGGACGATTCTGAGGAGGGGCTAATCGCCTCCGCGGCTTCCGCGGGGTCGGGGGAAACCGGCGGGTTGCGCCGCGCGTTCGACGCATCGCAGCCGCACGTGCGCGCGTACGCGGCGCACCTGGTGCGCATGCACAGCGCGGTTCTGGCGGAAGCGGGGGTCGATAGCAGCGCGCACGTTTACAGGTGAGTGAGGGTGACTGTAGAAGGGTTTCTTGTAGCAGCACATTCACAGATACAGGTATGGATAATCATAAGAGGGTGGTCGTAGGTACAGACAGTTCAGCTGGTCATAGCAGGGTGCAAAGACGGATCCTGATTCGGCTGGTCATAGCAGGGTGCAAAGACGGATCCTGATTCGGCTGGACACTTAGTCAGTATTTTCACAAATGTGGTCTTCGCCTGAGCTAAACTTGTCTCCATCGTCCTTCCGTCACTCTTCCTTCATCGCAGCTACACATACGCCATGAACGGCGTGGCAGCAACGCTCACTCCGCAGCAAGTAGAGATCCTCAAGAGACGACCAGAAGTGGGGTCCGTGAGAGAGGCGCCCAAATACGAGCTGCACACGACGTTCACGCCCACGTTCCTGAACCTGCGCAAGCGCGTGTGGAGCAACCACACGCTCCAGAACGGGCAGAAGGGCGCGGGGCAGCAGGGCGAGGACGTGATTATCGGCGTGATCGACACGGGGGTCTGGCGGGAAAACCCTGCTTTCAGCGACAATGTGAGTATAACGGAGAAATGAGGCCTGTGGTGCTCTCATCTCACCCTTCCTTCATCTCACCTTTTCCTCTTCTCACCCTCCATCTCACCCTCCATCTCACCCTCCATCTCACCCTCCCTTCGTCTCACCCGCCACCCACTTCACCACCCCTCCCTCCTCACCCCCTCCCCCATCCCCCCTTGACCCAGGTCTCTCCCCCCTATGGCCCAGTGCCAGCG